ATTTGACAGAAATTGCTGTACCAGAAGAGATGTGTGACTTGGAGCATTGTCATGATGGAGGATGATTTATAGCACACTTTAAAACACACCTTCTGTCAACCATAGTTCACACCTGACTGACTGCACCAAACAAGTTGAAACTTGCCACCCACTGTTACTAAGGTTTGATGTGCTGCTTCCTGTTATTGAAGATCCCTGCCTTCCAATTGCATGGCACGCGGCAGCAGCGTTCACCATATTTTTTGATCACATCTCGTATTTATCAACCACTCCAATATAACTTAAACTAGCTAATTGTAAGTGTGTACTTGTGTTCTGGAAGTTGATATAGTTTATCCCATTATTTGTCACAACAAGTCTAGGAAGGTAGGCATTGGCACTATATTAACTTCCTATTGTTGCTGTAACAAATTACTGCAAATTGGAGGCTTTTAAAACATCACAAATTTATTGCCTTACAGTTCTGTAGCATAGAAGTCTGGCATGGGTCTCACCAGGATAAAATCAAGGTGTGAGTAGAGCTGTGAGTCCTGGAGGCCCTTGGGGAGAATCCACTGTCTTCCCTTTCAGAGGCCCCCACATCCCTTAGCTCACGGCTCCCACTCTTCATTGCAAAGTCAGCAGCCTGTCTAACCATTGTCATACCTCTCTCGACACCACAGGGAAAGGTGCCCCACTTTTCTAGATTAGTGATTAGATGGGATCAGCTAATAATGCAGCATAATCTCTCCCTTTTAAGGTCCTTAACCAGAGGCCCGTCTTCAAGACCCTTTTGCTATGACAAGATAGCACCCACAGGTTCTGGGGATTTGGGCGTGGACTGTAATGGGTATTATTCTCCCTACTACAACCACCATCCTCTTTTTTGAGATGAGTACAGTAAGGCTTAGAGATGGTAGAGAGGATTTATCAACAACCATCCAAGAAGTAAGGTCAGAGCTGTTTCTGAACGTAGGGTCTCTTTGATTGTGAATGCTGTGCTCTTAGTCACATTGCTACATGCAGTTGTGGGCTTTCAGCTCATCATTTTACCCATTAAAAGGGACACCCTTGAAACAAGTGGTTTATAAAGGTTTGAGTGTGATGTATATAAAACAGGTTTTCTGTTGGAGGGTTCTGATGTTTCAGAGTTAAAATGACTCGTCCTGAGGTAGGTGGGAAATGTGTAGCCGATTCTGGAGTTTTAGTTATACATGGGTTATCATGGCTGTTATCCTAAATTTAGCCTGCCTTTTCTCGTGGAACTTGACAAATGAATGGATCAGAAGAGATTAAGTAATAATTATTGAAAGTAAAAACGAACTTTCAAAAATGATCTACTTTATGGATAGCAGTGAAGTTCCCATCTGTTAAAATAATGGATTTGAGTCATGTTTCACAAATTCAAAAGCAGACATTTCCTTTATTTTTTTTGAAGGTCACGATAGTTTTAATATGTGATGTTTTTGTGAAGGTCTCATTTTCTTTTGCTGCGTTACTATACGTGTGTTTGTAGAGTAGATTTTCTAAAATTATATATCCTTCCCAATTTAACACAAAATTACTTCATATCTGCACCTGGCACTTAAATTTTGGTTTAAAAGAAAGCTGTGGAATTGTGTGTTATTGGCATAGTGCAGATCACCAACTGTGATTCTGCCTCTGAAATTCAAGGAGCATTTGTTCCTGACACAGTCCAGATTTCATAATACTATGTTTTTAAAAAATGCTGGAGATAATTATTGAAAGTAATATACATGTAGAAGTTCTTCCATCATGTGTGGCATTTAAAGACTTGTTCTTTGTAATTTTCCATCTTTATTTTCAGTTTGCAGAAAGGACATGATTCTTGAGAAGAACACATCATTGTGAAAAGTTAATAACAAATCTTAATTTCATTTGCTTCCATTTAAGGGCCAAACTTATCAAAACTTAATATCTTCCAAATGCTTATTATAAGCCACACAATTTGTGAGAAGTCTGATGATATTAAACTCAAGTATAGAAATTAGAAATCTTCATGAAGAGCTTGCAGTGGATATTGTTAAGCTTATCAGGGTAACCAAGGTACTTACTCTTTTAGTTTATTTCCCAAATTGAAAATTACTAGAGGGATGAGCCATCTAGTACAGGCTTGTCAAACTATGGCCCATGGGCCAGATTTGACCCACCATGTGCTTTGTAAATAATAATTTGTTTACATAGTCACACTCATTTGTGTATTATCTATGGCTGCTTTCATGGTACAACGACTGAGTCAAATAGTTGTGTCAGAGAGACTATATGGATCACATAGCTTCAAAAATATTTACTGTTTGGCTGTTTTCAGAAAAACTTGACTAACTCCTCATGTGGCAGAATGTCTGTGTGACTAATACAGGGAGACACTTGCCAATTAATGGTCAGAGACACAGGCTGCTTTTATTACTGTATATGGAAGCTTCAGTGTATTCATACAAACATCTTTCCATTTTTTAATAACTGCTAAGGATTTCTTTTCCCACTCATGTTGCTTATTATAATGTCGAGTGTTCATCCTACTTTGATTTCTTCCGACCACTTATCCTCCCTCCAGATTGTTTAATCAGATCATTCTATATGATGCCACAGCAGGGCTCTGAGCTTCCTGTTTGTCTACCTGTCTCTATAACCTTAAAATGCTTTTCTTTTTTGCCTTGTGAATTGATATCCATGGAAATAGCATTTGTTGAAAATGACAGAACTGTCTATGAAATGAGGATTTTAATTATAAATTCTTCTCATATTCTATAAATTTATCATACTGTCCTTTTTAACTGATAGGAGTATTGGCATTGAAAAAGCTTGCATTGGCGGCAGAAGGTGTGGTTTGTTTTGGGTACAATCGTGATTCTTGGAATGCTAAGCTTACTTTGCTAAGTATAGCATTGTAGGGTGAAATGGCCAAGGTTGTCTTGTTCCTTAGGACTTTATTGCTCTTTATTATTCTGTGAGATTTTAAAGAAGGGCTGCCTGTTTAGTTATAAGAAGAAATAGATTGAATTTTAATTTTTATGATTCTTTGTAATGCTGTATTATGAAGTTAAAACATTTTAAATAATTTTATACTTAAGAAAAGTTGCAAAAATAGTACAGTGTTTCCATATATCCTTCATCTATGTCTAATGTTAACACTGGCAGAACCATAGAATTATCAAAGGTAGGAAACTAGTAACTCTGAGTCAGTGCTATTAACTAATCTACAGACCTCATTTGAATTTTGCCTCTTTTCCACTCATGTCATTTTTTTAAGCCCAAGGCCCAGTCAAGGATCTCACAATGCTGGTAGTTCTCCTTGTCTTTCTTTTACTTTCATGACCTTGATAGTTTTAAAGAATATGAGTTATTTTATAGCGTGTCCCTCAATTTGGATTTGTCCGAAGCTTCCTCATAATTAGATCAAAGTTATTCAATTTCGACAGGAATACCACAAAAGAAAGGTTATGTACTTAGTGCATTTTATCAGAGGGTACATGATGTTGATATGTCTTATTACTGATGATGTTAACCTTCGTAACATGGTGTCTTCCAAGTTTCTCCACTGCAAAGATACTATTTTTTTTTCTTTTTAATCAAAAAGCGTTTTATGGGGAGATACCTTGACATACGCAAATATCCTGTGTCTCATCTATTCCCGCTCATTACTTTTGGCATCCGTTTGTAGATCTTGCCTGCAGCAGTTATTGCTGTGGAGGTCACCTAATGATGCTTTCCATTTTCATTATTTCTTCTGTATTTATTAATTGGAATGCTGCGATAAGGAAGAGCTGTCCGTTCTCCACCATTTCTTTATTTCTTCAATTATTTATTTATCTCTTTATGGACACATAGGTATTTAGAAATATGTGTTTGTATCCTACACATGCATTAACATCCACCCATACCTATCTGTCTGTCTGTCTACCTACTTCCTCTAAAAACCATGAGTTCATATTGATGCCTCCAGTTCTAATCTAATACCACAGAGTTTAATTCCTTATTTGTAACTTCTGTTTCTGACAGTGAGAATTTTGGCCATTATTGTCCTCATTATCCCAGGTATTTTTCTTTTTCCTTTATCCCTGGTTCTTGTATGTGTGTGTGGTGATGGTGGTGGTAGTAATAGTAATAGTAGGGTGAGAATTTCTAAACTTTATGCTTATGAGAAACAAATTTACCAACTAGAATACAGTATTGCTGTGACAGTGATTTTTGTCTTTAGCCTTACATTAAACAGTGAAAAAAGTTTTCCAAAATCACTTATGAAAACTTCTTTTCTTCCCTACCCCCTTTAATTTGTTGTATTTTTCATTTATAACACAGTTAGGTTTATTTGTGTTCCATTTTAGGTTTCTCCATCCTCCCCCCATCCTGGTTGATTTCAATTATTTATTTGTTTTAGATATTTGAATTATTTTTATGGTTCTGAGTCAGTTGCAGAAAAAAATATTCAGAAAAGTGTCACTGCCCCATTATCTCCATTATTCGTTCTTATTCTCTCTCTCTCTTTCAATCCTGTTCCTACTAACTCCTTGCAGGCAACCAGTCTGGTTAGTTTCTTTGATCTTTCCTATAGTTCTTTTGCACAGATGAGCGGATACATGTGTAGGTTTTATTATCCCCTTCTTCCTATATGTTGGGTACCTTATACTTTTGCTATATATATTATATATCATATGTAAATATGTACTATATATACACAAATGCATTTTTATTTTCCATTTAATATATAATTTACAAAAAGATTTACATCAACCTCATCTTTAGCATTCTGGGATAGAAAACCATTTTATTTTTTTACCCATAGAATTTTAGATAGGAAATGCACAACTTAGAACTATAAAAGTAAAGCATCAAAATTCAGGGAAAGACTTTTGAAGTTTTGCTTCCTAAAACATAGTATTCTTGGTTGCATAAATATCAATATTGTTTCTCTGTAGATGTAAGTCAAATGTGGTGTGACATTTTTGGTAGTAATTTTAAATGCCTTCATTTATAAATGCAAATTTACCTTTTGTTTCTAGCTGGTAGCAGTGTTTGATGAGCAGGATCCACATCACGGAGGTGATGGCACCAGTGCCAGCTCCACAGGCACCCAGAGTCCAGAGATATTTGGCAGTGAACTTGGAACCAACAATGTTTCTGCGTTTCAGCCTTACCAAGCAACAAGTGAAATTGAGGTCACACCTTCAGTCCTTCGTGCAAGTACGTGAAAGTTCTTTCTTCTCTGCACATTTCATCTTAATTTACAGGGATGCCAACTCTTATTATCCAGCCATGCTCCTGTAAATGGAATTCATTATCTGTTTTTATCAAAAATTGATTAAATTTAGAGTCTGGGCCAATGTCTTTTGCAAGAGAGGTCAGCACGATTCTTTACATTTTAATAGATTGGGCTTACTTTACTTTTGACTGGTAGAGTTTTAATTTCTCACTAAAGGAAAATAAGAATAAAAGTTCAAGTTAGATTACCTGAATTCTTCTTAGTATGTATTTCATCTGAATGCTAGAACAAATAGAAATAACCAGAGAGGTTCTCATTGAAGTAAAACACAGCATCTTTGATTGCCAATCAACTTGGTTACTACCATTACTTGAACTTTATATGGAGAGCAGGAGAAGGGACCTCAGGGCCATAGTTATCTTCAGGGATCTGGAAGCACTTCTGTTGGAATGCTCTCTGAAGGAAGGAAAGTATAGGACACGGGTGAATTTATATTAGGAACCCGAAGACCCAGGGGACTCAAGTTCCAGTACACTTGCTTGAAGAATCCTATCAGTCATTCCTAGAAGTTTTACTCAGAAAAGTGAGCAACTTTGCTGGAAATCATATTTAGTTTTTTTTAAATTGTATAATCTTAAAATTGAGCAGCTATTAAGAGTACGAAGGTTCATTTCAAGAACTTTGTAAGTTAAAAATCACTTATCTTTTAGGCACATCTACTCAGAAACATTTACATTTTTCAAGTAGAAAATTTACCGATTTTCTTAAATAGGTCTTAATATATGTAGATCACTAATAATATATAATAATATATCTATAATATGTAAAATAATATATAGAATATAGGTAGATAATATTTGGAATATATACTTTATTTTTCTAAAATGCACCCATATTCCTACTTTTACATTGGTCGCGATCTGTAGCATTTTGTCAGTTTGCTTTTAGATGTTCATAAACTACTTCTGCTTCCACTGTCCCTTGAAGATATATGTGAGGAGAGCAAGGAAAGAATATAAGTTCAGCTGTTAACGAACTGATGATCCATCAGAAACCGCAGGAAAAA